GATGAGCACCGCAACCCTAGAGTCGGATTCGACTGGCTTTCGAGCAAGGGAACCTTTACCTTTACCTTTTTAATGCTGCCTTAATGGAAGATGCTGTCACTTGGGAACAACGTTTAGGAGACTTTCCTGTGGTGATTGCTATAACTATTGTTTATAACCCCTGTTCATTTCTCTCTCTCTCTCTCTTTCTCTCTCTCTCTTGTCTTCCCTTTTTCCTTTGGCAAACAAACTACAAAATCTAATGGGAAAAGATGAAATGGTGTACACTCCCAGCACACCTCCATTCCCGAGGCAATCAAAACGGCCCCATCATTTACAACACACTTTCCCATCGAGCCCTTCTGTTATTGCTTGTAAAAGTCGGCAAGAAATGGGATTTCGGCTCGATGCCGTCTGAGTTTCAGTGCAGCGACAGAATTCGCTCGTCCTGGTTTGGATTGCTTAGCTATACTAGAACTGGGAAGTTTTCTCTTCTCGCTCAGTTTAAATATGCTGCACGCTTGTAATGAGCAACGGATTAGATGCTAGGAGCAAACAGGTAAAATTAAGTCCTGGTTTGAAAGAAATATGAGATGCACTGAAAAACCACTCCAATGTAATGTTCAAAATATATGAAATGGTATTTAAGGTTATTATTTATAGTTTGCTCTGACTTGGAGGAGCTGCGGTGGCTCAAGTGGCTAAGATGCTGAACTGCAGGCTGTGGAAGGTCAGTAGTTCAACAGTTCGGGACCCGAGTGTGCCACATGATGGAGTGAGCTCCCATCTCCAGTTCCAGCTCCTGCCAACCTAGCAGTTCGAAAGCAAGAAATTGCATGTAGATAAATAGGTACCACTTTGGTGGGAAAGTAACAGCGTTCCGTGCGCCTTGGTGTTTAGTCATGCCGGCCACATGACCACGGAAACGTCTTCGGACAGCGCTGGCTCTTCGGCTTTGAAACGGAGATGAGCACCGCAACCCTAGAGTCCAACTCAACTGGCTTTCGAGCAAGGGAACCTTTACCTTTACCTGACTTGGAAGACCCAGGCCGGCCTGATCATGGATGCTCTTGGAAGCTCAGCAGGGCCAGGCCTTGGATGGGAAATCTCCCCAGAAGTCCAGGGTCACTATGCAGAGGCAGGCAATGGCAACGCTGTGTGTCTCCTGCCTTGAAAACCCTACAGGTTCTGGCTGTCAAATATAACGATGCCCCCAAATAGCAAAGAACTGTTATCAACTTTGTTAGTTGCTGCTTAATTGGTAACAGCCATTAGATGGAAAGATCCCAGTCCACTTCATCTGAACCTTTTGGTACACCAAGGTATGGGAGTTGTTTGTGATGGATAAAACCGCAGACAATGTTAATGTGTTTGGCCACTCTAAAAGTCACACTAACAAAATGCACAAATGGCTCCCTTTTCTAGAGGCATCATTTCGACATAATTTGATGGTGAGATCTCAGATTCCTCACCGCTTTTATGAAATAATTAATTATACGTAAATGCTCATATTGAATTTTGATCAAACTGGATGATCTTTACACTTTGTCTTCAATATATATTATAGCTTTCTTATAACACCTTTTATATTTTGAGTTGTTAAGACCTGGGGATTTACTTTCAATTCAAGAATTGTATGTATTCTGAGATGTATTATTTATGCTGCTCTGTTATAAGTTGGAAAATGTTGTTGTTCTATGAAAATTTAATTATAAATATTTTTTTAAAACCCCTATGGGTTGCCGTAAGTCAGCTGTGACTTGATGGCCAAAAAAAAAGGGAGGGTTCAGGAGTGCAGTGATGCATGGTCAGTGCCTGGGGTCTGTGGGAATCCCAAAGTTGGTTTTCTATGCGGTCTAATGGACCCTCCAACACCATACCTGTAGACTTTTTTTCCATTCAAGTAAAAACCTCTTGGGCTTACAAGTGAGAAAAAAACCCTAAATGGTTAACTGTACGAATCAATCAATATGTCATTTTCATATTTTTAGTTGCCATATTCTGTCATTGTTCATTCTATTTGTTTTCATTTACTTCATTTATATCCCACTGTTCTCCCCAATGGGACCTCAAAGTGGCTTGTATTTGTCTCCTTTCTTCCATGTTATCCTCGCAACAAGCTTGTGACAAAGATCAGGCTGAGAGAGAGTGTGACTGGCCCAAGGTCACCCAGCAAACTTCCATGGCAGAGTGGGGATTTGAACCTGGGCATCCCAGACCCTAGTCTGATACGGTAACCCAGGGGTCCCCAGCATGGTGACCGTGGGCTCTATGGCACCTGCGGACACCTTTCTGGGTACCCGCCAAGTGTTTTGAGGAAGTGGGTGGGGCCAGGTAGGGCTTTTGCTTAGCAAGGCTTCTGATGATCAGATATTTGATTGGCTATGCAGATTTGCTTAAAACGTTGCTTTGGCGGCAGCTCCCACCGCAGCACAAGGATCTACCTTGTGCTATGGAAGTTAAGCTGTGGCAATCATTTTGTAGTTGGCTCCGCCTCCTGCAGCAGCCATTTTGTGGGAAACATTTTGTTGCTGTGCCCACTGTGCCATGTTAGAATTCCAAATGTGCCCACAGGCTCAAAGAATCTGGGGACCCCTGCTGTAACCACTACACTACACTGGATGTGAATATTTTTGGTCTATACATTTCACTGCTAGCTGCGGTCGCCAGTCTCCTGGTGGCGGCTGGAGATCTCCTAGGATTTTACAACTGATCTCCAGGTGACGGAGATCAGCTCCACCAGAAAAAAAAATAGCCACTTTGGAAGGTGGACTCCGTGGCATTATACCCAGTTGAGGACCCTCCCCTCCCCAAACCCCACCCCCCTCAGACCCCACACCCAAAGTCAAAGTCTCCAGGTATTTTCCAACCTGGAGGTGGCAAACCCTACTGCTAGCACTGGTCATTATTCTGTGCCTTGTATGTATTTTTATGCATTTTTAGCACAATTTATATAGGATTTATACATACAAATGGCCGGATCTTACCCATTTTTTTCCACTTGCGAAAATGGGAGGAGGGGATGCTTTGCACCATCCAAAAGGCTAGGGGAGAAATCACGGAACCCCCCCTTGGGCAAAAGCCATGCAGGATACACTCAGGAGGGGAATCGTGGGAGATAGATAGGAAAAACTGGTACCATCCAACCCTATGTGCCTCATTTATTTGTATAACATATGCACGCCATATGCTGATTTAGTGACACATAAATAATACTGAAAATGTGTATGTTTTGTGGGAAAATATTAGCATGAGAAAACTATGAAAATACTCACACATTCCGTTTACACAAGGGAGAAGCAAATGTGGCTATTCAAACTGAACTAGCAAGCTTGCAGAATCTCATAGCATCTCCAGTTACATTTTTGCATAAATATAAGGCAGCTATTTAATTTCCCCCCAAGTGGCTTTAACTGGGGTTATCTTTTAGTGAAAACCCCATTTCGCCTGCATGCGGAGAACTAGCGCATCCAGAGGAAAAGGTTTATATGGGCTGTTCAATTTGAAACATTGAAGGTTTGGACATTCCTGGAGATTTGGGGTGATGCCAGGGAAAGACAGCGATTTGGGAAGAGTAAGGGACCTTGGTAGGCTATAATGGCATAAAGTCCACCCTCCAAATCAGCCATTTCCTCCAGGAGAACTGACATTAGTCTGGAGATGAGTTGTAATTCCTGGAGATCTCCAGACCCCACCTGGAGATTGTCAACCCAAATAGGATTAAAACCCTAGAATCTTATACCCTAGTACCCTCTCAGCAGCCCTGCTTAGACGTATGCTTGCTTAGACTTATGTTGCAATCTATAGTGGACTTTTTTGGCCTCTTGCACTACATCTTGCAAATGGGAAGAATTGCCATTATCTGGATTAATGTGTACCAGAAATTAGATTCAGTGAAACATATGAAAAAAAAACTATGTATTTCTTGGTGGTGATGAAAAGGGCTGTCAAGTCACAGCTGACTTATGGTGACCCTGGAGGGTTTTCCAGGCAAGAGATGACTAGAGGCGGTTTGCCATGGCCGGCCTCCGCGTAGTGGCTCTGGAGTTCCTTGGTGGTCTCCCATTCAGGCACTAACCAGGGCCGATCCTGCTAAGCTTGCAAGATCTGATGAGATCGAGCTAGCCTGGGCCATTTCTTGCATACATTATATGCAGAGAAGGAGGAGGAGGAGGAGGAGGAGGAGACTGGAATTATACCCTGCCCTTCACTTGGAGTCTCAGAGCGGCTTACAAACTCCTTTCCCTTCCCCTCCCCACAACAGACACCCTGTGAGGTAGGCGGGGCTGAGAGAGCTCTTGACAGAAACTGCTCTTTCAAGGACAGCTCTGACAGAACTATAGCTTGCCCAAGGTCATCCAGCAGCTGCAAGCAGAGGAGTGGGGAATCAATCCCAGTTCTCTCAGATTAGAGTCCGTGCACTTAACCACTACACCAAACTGGCTCTGAAGAATGAAGAATCATTCTCCTTAGCCGAACCACCAACGACTTCACCCAGTACTGTCTCTTTGGACTGGAAGAAATCCTGCAAGTTCTGGGGCCAGTGATTTCCCCAGCCCTTCTCCCTGACCTTCTTGCTGAGTGTTGAACCTGGGACCTTCTGTATGCAAAGCAGATATTCTACCACTGAGCTATGGCTCTGCTCCCTATATTAAAGCTCTGTAGATGTGACCTGAATCCTTTCAATGGCCAAGCCGCAGCCATTCATTTTACACCCAGAGCACTTGACTTCAGCCCTGTTTCCTGGTTTCCTGGAGATGCCATAAATCGCAGAGACAGCAGCTAAATATACTATATATATAAACCGTGAACATTGCTAAGCAACTCTGAGTGAAAAATAAAAGGCCTGCTCTCCAGAGCAACATCATTAACTGGCACCATTCTCCAAATGCTGAGGCTGATTTACAACCAAATTTTAAATCATCGTATTACTCCACTAAATAAATAAATACAGATATATATCCCGGCATTACGGCACTCTCGGTTTTACTGCACAAAGTCCTCTTTACACGGAAACATACCTCTGAGTTCAGAAGACAGTGAAACAGGAAGATGAAGAATCCCTAAAAGAATAAAATTGAGAAAAAATATATTACCAACGCTGATCTAAGCTGCAGCAGGGACTGGGCAGATTTACAATTAAATAGAAATTGGCCCTCGTTACATGGAAAGGGGGGGGGGAGATACAGCAGACCAATTTCGTTCTTCATAAGGGACAGGGAAGCCACAGATCCTAATTCCCCCGGGAATCATTCTGAAAGCTCCCTTCTTCAAAGGAGCCGCTTGGTCCTTTCTGTTCTGCCATTTTAGGGCCAAGCTGCACGATAAGACCGACATGTGCCAGGTCAGGGGCATCCGACCAGACTTGCAGTCAGACCTCTATCGAGGAACTCGCCTTAAAAAGAACTCATTGGCTCTGTCCTCAGAGGGAATGCTGTGAGCGGGGAGAAGAAGCTTTCAGATTCCCTTAGGGTTGCCAGCCTCCAGGTGGGGCCTGGGGATCTCCCGCTTTTACAACTGATCTCCAGCTGAAAGAGATCAGCTCCCCTGGAGAAAATGGCTGCTTTGGAGGGTGGACTCTGTGGCACTGGACCAGGCTGAGGCCCCTCCCCTCCCCAAACCCCGCCCTCTCCTGGCTCCACCCCCAAAGTCTCCAGGTATTTTCCAAACCAGATTTGGCAACCCTAGATTCCCTCCCACCCCACTTTTGCCAGTGGAAAGGGAGGTAGGGGGGTTGCCCCATTTTTCTAGACCTGTGTGCTCTAGGAAGGACACGTGGAGCCAAAGAAAATGGACAAAAAGTCCCCTGCTTCCCTTTCCGCTGGCCAAAGCAGGGTGGGAGAGAAACGGGAAAATTCCTTATCCCCTAGTGTTGCCAACCTCCAGGCAGAGCCTGGAGATCTCCTGCTATTCCAATTGAATGACAGAGATCAGTCCCCCCTGGAGAAAATGGCTGCTTTGGAGGGTGGACTCTGTGTCATTGCACAATGCTGAGGCCCCTCCCCTCCCCAAACCCCACCATCTCCAGGCCCCACAACCAAACTCTCCTGGTAATTCCCAACCCAGAGTTGGCAACCCTGTTCTTCCCCCTCGCAGCATTATCTCTCAGCACCAAGCAAACAAGAGCTTTCTAAGGTGAACTTCTCTGACTATGAATCCAGTTGTGCGCCCCGACGTACATCTGACTGCGAGTCCAGCCACGCACCTGTGACCTGGCACATGTTGAATGGATCATGCAGTAACACCCTTAGTGTCCGGCCCCAAGTGGGCCATCGCCACATTGGAATGGACCTGTGTTCACAGTTTCCAGGGCTAGAAATCCATCCACAGAGGATCCCCTTTGTGTCCACCAGAGGATGAGTCCAGTCCTGCTGTGGCCTTGACCACTGGACCCTCCTCCTCTGAAATGAAGGAATGGGAAAGTCCATTTCTTCTTGGGATGGCCACTGGCAAATCCCGTGGGAAGCCACGGAACTACCACCAAAAATGGCATCCCCGTATTGAATTCTCCGGAGAAGAAATCGACACGGGGATGCCATTTTTGACAGCAGTCCCCTGTCTTCCCCAGTGGGTAATCCATCTGCTAAGAAAGAAATCGAAGCCCTTCAGGCAAGAACACTTGAAAGCGATAAGCACCAACTGGGAACTACTAGACTCAGGCAAATACTTCCACTGTCTGATTTATCTCACAGTGGCTTTAAGATACTGAACAGCAGAGTCACTGATGAGGCCCAAGAGTTGCCATTGATCATACAGACTTATGAGCGATGCACAAAGGCCATGAAACTTTAGAGGAAAAAACATAAATAGAAATTGCTGGTAAAGACCTGTCTATTAAAAGCTCGAAATGCTCTACACAGAAATTTATGCCGGCTCTTTGGCGCTTTAGTGGTGCTATGAACTTACTTGCAAGGAGTTGAATATTGCAAACATGTACTGGAAGACCAATGCATGGTCATTGACAGCCAGAACGCCAAAGATCCATGAACTACCCAGGATAGGCAGTAAGACAGCAACTGCTTTGGCTGTCAACCTGTAATACAGCAGGAGAGAATGGGGATTTTAATGCAATGGACACGTTCAAGTTTCAGTGATTCCAGAACTTCTGTGCCAGTTTCGGATTTTGTTACATGAAATGTCACTATGCGGGCTTGGCATAAGCAGAACAGAACCTGCAGCCTTACGTTATTATTACGTGAGAGCCGGAATGGTGTAGTGGTCAGAGTATCAGACTAGTTTCTTGGACACCCAAGGTTCAGGGAGGGAGTGTGGCTCAGTGACAGAGCATCTGCTTGGCATGCAGAAGGTCCCAGGTTCAATCCCTGGCATCCCCAGTAAAGGATCAGGTGGTAGGTGATGATGAAAGACCTCTGCCTGAAACTCCTGGACAGCTGCTGCCAGTCTGGGTAGACAACGCTCTTTGATGGACCAAGGGTCTGATTCAGCATCAGGCAGCTTCATGTGTTCATGGGTCTGACTCTCCATCCAGCTGTGGAAGCTCACTTGGGGACCTGGGCTAATCACAAACTCTCAACCTGATATATCTCACCAAGTTGTTATGAGGATAAAGTGGAGAAGGGAAGAATGTTGTAAGCCATTTTGGGTCCCCACCGAGGACAAAAAGAAGGTACAAATGATATAGAATAAGTAAATAAATATTGGGTGAACGATGGCTGAGATCATCAAGGTCAGTATTGTCTATTTAGACGGGCAGCGGCTCTCCAGGGTCTCAGACTGAGGTCTTTCACATCACCTCCTACCTTGTCCTTTTAACTGGATATGCCGGGGATTGAACCTGGGACCTTCTGCATGCCAAGTAGGTGCTCTGCCAGTGAGCCACCACCACTCTCTTCAATGGCTGAGATGAAAGTACACTTGAGGGAGTATTAATCACTGCCAAGCAGGGCGAAATGTAAAGCATGTTAAACAGTCATTTAATGTACTGAAGGATTTTAATAAAACGGAATATAATTAGCCTGATCCAGTTAACTCCATTTAAGTACCTTTGATTTTATAGCAGGAAAGTTGAACATGTTTTCAGTTGTCTCTTAGATCAATCAATTTACACTTTAAAGGGTTTAACTTTAGCAAGATCATGCCCCATCTTAATCCAATTTAAAACAAATCACTGCCAAGTACTGGTTGATTCATCCCAATGCTTCCATGCTCCCCAGTCACAATTCTGAAAACTAGCAGAAGTTCAACTCTTCTGGAAGGCCAAAGTAGACCTCACACCAAACACATGCCTGCTGCTACAAATGGCACCCTCGTGTCTATGGCCCCCATCCATAAAATCCAGCAGAATTCAACTGCCATTGTGATGTTCCATGTCTCCTCACACACAACCTGTTAGATCGCGCTAACAAAGGACTCGTACAGTGATTCAGCAAGTGATTCAGCTTTATTGGAAGTAACGAGCAAGCACTAACTCAGTAAGAAACCAGAACAGAAAACAGTGGGAGCTTATGCTCCTTTTAAACATAACCGGGCTAATGTAGCCACGCCTATTTACAAATAACAACCAATGAGATTGCTAGAATAAAGACCAATGGGAGTCTTTCCCTCCTAGGGAATGGTACCGTTCTGATTGGTCGCTGTTACGAAGCGACCAATAGGAAGTTCGCTCAGAGGAGCCCTGGTCTGGCTCGAAGCTTAACATGGGAGTCCTATGAGGTGATTCATGTAATCATTTCAATACATTACAATTCCTCCCCCCTAAGTTAAGCCATCATCCCAATTGTTTTATTATTTACAAACATGCAATCAACCTTTGTACATCAGTTATTCCAACAGTATTTACACTCATAGTCCTTCAGATAAGTCGGCATTTGCCGCGAACGCTGGGACCTGCGGAGCGGTGCAGGCTCCACGGGCAGACAAGGTTGTGGGTCAGAGTGGGGTTCACTACAGCCTGGATCAGGCACAGACTCGACTGGGATTTCAGCCCCGCACACAGGGTTCTGCCCTGACTCGGGGACAGTACCGGGCCTTTCGGTACTCACCGCCTGCTCTGGGGGTGTCCACTCGACATCAGGGGATTCAGCCGTCGGAGAGTCAGCGCTGTCCCTAGCCCAACGTCTCCTTAACTGATCTATGTGGCGCCGCCATATTCGACCGTCAGCTAACTGCACCACATACATTCGAGTACCCACAGAGTCGGATATAACCCCAGGAAGCCACAAGTGCCCGTTTGCATAATTTCGTGCGAAAACCTTGTCCCCTTTTTCAAACATGCGCACCTTCGGTTGCGCAGTGGTACGCTCGGACTGATCTTCTGTGAGGTCTGGGTGCATTCGGTTCAAACGGGTCGTGAGTCTCCGCCCCATTAACAATTCGGCCGGACTACGGCCTGTAGCACTACAGGGGGTGGTGTGCTGCAGCAAAAGAAAGGAGCCCAGCCTCTGGCTCCAGTCCCCTTCGTCCATTTTACCCAGGGCCTCTTTGGCCGTCCTGACCATCCGTTCGGCTTGGCCATTAGATGCCGGATGGAAAGGGGCCGAAGTCATTTGGCGTATGCCATTACTCGTGAGGAAGAGCCTAAATTCCTCAGACACAAATTGAGGCCCGTTGTCACTGACGATGACGTCAGGCAACCCGTGGGTGGCAAAAAGTCGGCGGAGCGCATGGATCACAGCAAGTGATGTGGTCGATTTCATATGCACGACCTCCAGCCATTTGGACATAGCGTCCACCACAATTAGGAACATTTGCCCTTGGAGAGGGCCAGCAAAATCTATATGCAATCTGGCCCAGGGTTTACCAGATGACTCCCAGCCTTGGGGTGTAGCTTGTGGGGGATCGGGTCTGACTTGCTGGCATTTGGGACACCCTCGTACCCATTCTTCGATCTCTTTGTCCAGCCCCGGCCACCAGACATACCCTCTGGCCAACGCTTTGGTGTGTACCATACCGGGGTGACCCTCGTGCAGCGACTCTAACACTCTCGTCCTGAGTTTGTCAGGAACCACCACCCTGTTCCCCCATAATACACAGCCCTTAGAAATGGATAGTTCATTTTGACGGCTTTTGTAAGGGCCGAACTCCGGTTCAACGCTTCCAACCGGCCACCCCCTCCAAACCCAGTTTAATACTCGGGACAGCACGCTATCCTTGGCCGTGTGTGCTGCAATGTCCCTGGATGATACCGGGGGTCGAGGAAGCTCCTCAATTGCCAAGACCTCACAGGCGGGGGCAGGGTCTGCGCCAATGTCCGGCACCGGGCACCGGCTGAGGGCATCCGCATGCCCAATCGCTTTCCCAGGCCGGTGCTCTAAGTCAAAATCATAAGCCTGCAAAAATATCGCCCATCTAAGCATGCGTGGGGACATGATGTTTGGCAATTGCTTATCGGGCGCAAAAATCCCCAGTAGCGGCTTGTGGTCAGTGACCAGCAAAAATCGTCTGCCAAAAATAAAATCATGGAACTTTTTGACAGCCGCTACCAACGCCAGACCCTCCTTGTCTATCTGGGCATAGTTCCGCTCTGCCGCAGATAGTGATCTAGAATAAAAAGCGATAGGCGCTTCGCTCCCATCAGGCATCAGATGGCTTAAAACTGCGCCTACTCCAAACGGTGAAGCGTCAGCAGCTAACACCAGGAGCTTGTGTTCATCATAATGCGTGAGTACGGCATTAGATGTCAGCAGCTCCTTGACTCCCACAAAAGCCTTTTCCTCGGCCTGCCCCCACTTCCATTTTGCCTCCTTGTGCAAAAGCGCGTGCAAAGGGGCCGCCACTGATGCCTTATGCGGTAAAAACGCATGATAAAAATTCAGGAGTCCTAAAAAGGATTGGAGCTCCTTCTTACTCACCGGCCTGGGGGCGTTTTGGATTGCAGATACCTTCTCATCCGTGGGGTGGACTCCCTCTGCGTCAATGCGAAACCCCAGGAAGTCCACACTTTCCACCCCGAGCGTGCATTTTGAGCGCTTAACTCTGAGGCCGGCATTTTGAAAACGCCTGAGGACCTCTTTAACCCGGTCCAGTAGTTCCTGTTCAGACCCGCCCGCAATCAGCACGTCGTCAAAATAGGGCACTGTGCCAGGTACCCCCCTTAGTAGACGTTCCATGAGGCCCTGAAAAATCCCAGGTGCTACGTTGACCCCGAATTGCAGCCTGTTCACTTTAAAAGCCCCTTGGTGGGTTACAATTGTTTGGGCCTCGGCAGCCTCCGGGGTGACAGGCAACTGCTGGTATGCCTGGGCCAGGTCAAATTTGGCGAAAATCTTGCCACCCCCCAGGGAAGCCAAAATGTGGCTTATTACCGGGACCGGGTACGAATGTTGCTGCAGCGCCTTGTTAATCGTACATTTGTAATCGGCGCATAGTCGTATGGACCCATCTGATTTGACAGGGGTTACGATCGGGGTCTCCCATTTGCTGTATGGTACTGGCTCTAAAACCCCTTGCTCAACTAGTTTGTCAATCTCTTTTTCCACCTTATGTTTGAGAGACACAGGTACTTTCCGATACTTCAACCTAATAGGTTTGACTGACGGATCTAAGTCAAACGCAACCGGGGGGCCCTTGTACCTTCCCAACCCTTCGGCAAATACATCAGGGAACAGGTCGTACAGCATGCCCCATTTATTTTCAGACATCCTGTTAATCCCAGAAATACCGATGCCCAATGGCTCAAACCAATCTAACCCTAGCAGGTTAACCCGGTCTCCCTCTGCAATCAGGAATGACAGTTTAACACATTTCCCCTTATACTCAACAGTAACAGAGTCCCGTCCGGCCAAGGGAATTCGGTTGCCCTGGAAGTCGGACACTCTGGTTCCCGCAGGCTGGAGCCGCCGCCGGCTTCGGTTCGGGAACAACTGGCGCCAGGACGCGGCAGAAATCACCGTCACGGACGATCCTGAGTCCACCTCCATTGTACAGGGTCGGCCGTCGAGGAGTGGAGTCACGGTGATCTTGCCCTGGCTGCTGGTGCGATTTACGGCCGATGCGCTCGACAAGGTCGCCGTCAACTGGCAGCTTGCTTCCGATGCTGAGGAACGGGTCTTGCCTTGGGTGCTGACTGGAGTG